CAAGTTCAATGACTGACATGGCATGGACTAGGAATGTGGACCCCTCAAAATGCTAAGGACACATATTGGCAAAAACTCAAGACTCTACATTTTCATTTTAGTGATCCAAGATCACATTGAGTCCATAGGAAAAGCCAATACTATTAAAAGGGGATGAGGTGTTTCTTAATGGCTTGCTTGCTCAAAATGCTTAGTGATATGCTCCAAAGGCCCTCAACCACTTTCTCATATCCACATATGTCCCAAACCAAAAGTCAAACTCGGCCCCATCGATTTGATCTATCCCGCGCCACTGAGTTCATTTGACATAGCCATAGCCAGAAACCCTAATCAGTTCGGTCTCACCGATAGGGATCTCGGTCTCACCGAGATGGGATTGCAAACTCTCTGTTTCCCTTCGTAACGTTTCGGTCTAACCGAGATGAGCGATCGGTCCCACCGAATTCGCAATGCAAACTCTCTATTTCCTTTTCGTAACGTTTCGGTCTCACCGAAGTGAGCGATCGGTCCCACCAAGTTTGCTTGACCAACTCTCCGTTTGCCTATTATAGAAATCGGTCTCACCGAGATTACGTTATGCCCCAACCCTAATGAAATCGGTCCCACTGAAAAGCCTAACGTTCACATTTTGAACTGAATCGGTCTGACCGAGTTTGAGTATTCGGTCTCACCGAATTTGGTAAATTGTGTGTGATGGTTAGATTTTGTGTGGAGGCTATATATACCCCTCCACCCTTCCTCCATTCATGAAGAGAGCCGTCAGAATGTGCCTACACTTCCAGCATACATTTTCTGAGAGAGAACCACCTACTCATGTGTTGAGACCAAGATATTCCAATCCAACCACAAGAATCTTGATCTCTAGCCTTCCCAAAGTTGCTTTCCACTCAAATCATCTTTCCACCAAATCCAAATCTGTGAAAGAGAGTTGAGTGTTGGGGAGACTATCATTTGAAGCACAAGAACAAGGAGTTCATCATCAACACACCATCTATTACCTTTTGGAGAGCGGTGTCTCCTAGATTGGTTAGGTGTCACTTGGGAGCCTCCGTCAAGATTGTGGAGTTGAACCAAGGAGTTTGTAAGGGCAAGGAGATCGCCTACTTCGTGAAGATCTACCCAAGTGAGGCAAGTCCTTTGTGGGCGATGGCCATGGTAGGATAGACAAGGTTGCTTCTTCGTGGGTGGAGCCCTCCGTGGACTCGCGCAACCGTTACCCTTCGTGGGTAAGTCTCCATCAACGTGGATGTACGATAGCACCACCTATCGGAACCACGCCAAAATCTCTGTGTCTACATTGTGTTTGCTCCCTCCAAACTCCTCCCCTTTACCTTCATATGCAATGATTTACATTCCGCTGCTATACTCTTAGATTTGCATGTGTAGGTTGATTGCTTGACTTGTGTTAAGTTGCTAAAATCTGCCAAGACTTAAAATTGGGAAAAGGCTAGATTTTTATTTGGTCAAGTAGTCTAATCACCCCCCCCCCCCCATCTAGACATACTTTTGATCCTACAATTGACTTTCAGTCTATTGAGGCTCTTTGTGTGACTTTTAGTCTGTTCTTGAAGGAAGGATCCCGACTGTTGTCATGGGGGTCGTTTCCTCCTCTTCTTCTCGCGATATACCTTGGTAACGCACGAGAGAAGGGGGGGAACTGACCATCACCGATGGTCGAAATACCAGTGATCGAGTGTCCACCATACACGGTCGAAATATCTGAAAGGAAGAATATCGACTGTTGTCGTGGTGGTCATTTCCTCCTCTTCTCCTCATGATAGACCTCGGTAATGCATGAGGGAAGGCGGGATGCGACCATCACTGACGGTAGATATATCAAAGGGGAAGAACCCTGACTGTTGTTGTGGGGGGTGCTTCTCTTTATTTCCCGTGTGCTAGACATTTTGGTGTACTGCACTCGGGAAAGAAGGAAGGAGTGACCATCACCGACAGTCAAGAAATCAGAGAGGGGGTACCCACAATACACACCACGAGAGATGTGAGTTTTCCAACGAAGACTCAACAGATCGAAAGTCAATTTGTGTTGAATAATGATATGTATGTTGAGTTTCTAGTATTTTCTATCAAATTTCAATCTTTAAATTATGAACATGATACGTCTTCAACGTATCTATAATTTATGAAGCTTCTTCCGTCTATTTTTTTTAGTTTGTGGACTGGTTTTGTTCCCCTTTTTTCATCCTTTTTCTTTTTTCTCAAATGTGTGAAAATTTTCTAATGTTGTCATTTATCCAAATTCATAATTTTTTAAATATCTGTGAAATTTCAAAACATTTTTTTACAAAACCCCATGATTTTGTTTCCAATCTATGAACATTTTTTTATCCATGAACTTTTTCAAATGCATTAATGTTGTTGAAATACACAAGCTTTTAAAAAAAATTAAGATTATTTTCAAAATCTTGTGAGCCATGTTCCAAAATTGATGAACTTTTTTCCTTTTTTATTTTACATTATTTCATTTTAATTTCATGACCTTTTCATTTTTGAATTCATGACCGTTTTCCAAATTCGCAAACTTTTTAAAAAAAAATACGTGATTTTTTTTAAATTCGTGAATGTTTTCTGAGCTTTGCAAACTTTTTAAAAATGCATGATTTTTCTTTTTAAAGTCATGAACTTTTTCAAATTCAAGAACATTTTTAAAAAATACTGAACTTTTTCAACTCTTGAATTTTTTTCTCAAATGCATGAACCTTTTTTGAATTCCTAATTTTTTTTATAGAGTCAATTTTCTAGGTCAATGGGCTGAGAGGTCAACTAGTCAGTATTGAAAAAATGAACTAGTTAGTGGTCACTTTACAGGGACGAGTTCGCCGATTAAACTGTCACCAAGCGGAGGGCGTGTTTGTTTGCCCATACGCTTGCTCGCGTGAGCGCTCGTTTTTTTACCTGGTGCAGTAGGCGTTGAGGAGGAGCACTCTTGTCAGGGTCTATATGTGACGTCACCAGGAAAGAGCATATGCATTTGTTCTGTGACTTTGGTCATGGGCTGATGATCGGACACCAATTTGCATATTTGTATAAATAAAATCTTTATCTAGTTTTCTAAAGAGGGGTAAAACACTTATGTTCATGTAGGATCAGAAACTGACTACTACAACAGTAAATAACTTAAAGAAACAACTAGGCAAAAGTGTAGAGATAAATCTATCGGAACCGGAGATAGAAAATTCTAAACTGAATGTACAACGAGTAAGAGATAAACCAGTTGTAAACATGGGAGCATGCAAGCATGCTAGAGATAAATCCATCCATGGTGAACAACACAGAGGAAAATACGTTGCAGTTTCGAAGAACTGAACACATAGAAAAATATAGAGGGAGACATTCTCGACAAAAGACAAATAACTGAATGTACAACGAGTAAGAGATAAACTAGTGGTGCTCGATGGCGGCAGATATTTGTTTGACCAGCTCACACTTCTGGCAAAGTGTTATGTCTGGTTGAAAGAACTTGTGATTGAAGATAGAAGCAAATCTCTTTCCATCCTATTCTCCATGACCTAAAGTCCATTGGACTCCGGTCAATTAACTCTCGGTAGATTCTTCAAGGCAATCTCCAAATTTTCACATACTCGTCCTTGGAGATCCACGATGAATCTTGGATGCTTTGGACCGATGCCTTACCGTCTAGTGGATGCACAGTCCACAAGAATAATAGCCACAAGTATCATTTCAATCTAGTTCCATGTGATGCTCAATCAATTATTAGATTTCAAGCCTTGGGATTTCTATCTAGGATTCTGTCAGTTTCTCTTGGAGAGTGCATTGTTCATACAAACTCATGTCAAATCAAATGGAGCATCCAACTGTTACATGTTGGGGTGGGTAGGATATTTATATTCGGAGCAATCAAGATGTGTGAAATAACCAATAGGGGCACTGGGCACCTTATGGGCAACATAAACATGGCATAACGGTCGGATTTCAATATTAGCCCACGACTTACTTGAGGTACAAGTCAAGTTGACTCAACTACCGGTGATTCTTTCTCTAAGTCTAGAAGAACATCATCTCGGACTCGGAGAATAACTACTCTACCCGTAGATATCTCTCTCAAGAGACTAGTATAGGATCTACTCTTTAGGTGCGATTGTAGGATTAACCCCAAATTTCATATTTAGACAATCCGAAATTTTGTGAATCTTTTTTACAACATACCTGCGGGATATGTCTAAAGCTTCGAAAACATCATCTCAAAACTCAATCTACAGTTAGAGATTTTAAAAAGACAAATTTGATTGTGAATAATGTCAGCTTTGGGTAAATAGTATCTGACACTATTCACATCCGATTTTGTGTCTTTTTGGTTCTCATAGTGTATTTCGAATTAGGAGCTTAAACTTTTGAGCTTGTACATCAAACATGGATGTGTGTCCACAAGTATTTTTAGAATTTTTGAGCATAGTGTATTTTGGTTCTCATAGTGTAGTTCGAATTAGGAGCTTAAACTTTTGAATTTTTGAATACTTTGATTTTTCAAAGAAAATTTGACCGATTCTTGCAAAAACTTTCCAAATTTCAAAATGGCTGGGCTAAATTGGTTGAAAATTTCCCGATTGATCATTTAGGACTGAACCCACATGCCATAATTCTCCTTAACCGACTAATCAGAACAAATTTGTGTTTTTTGTTACCGATTAGACCTGAAGTTGTGGTTTTCTATTAAAAATCCTCGGAGTTGTGGTTTTGTGTTACCTCGACTCCAAAAGATGTGTATTTATGCAATTTCCTCAAAAATAAAATACTTTACGACATTTTCCAAGACGGCACTACTGGTTTGAACACTTGCTTTGAGCAGTCCACGGTTGCGATCTGCTACTACTTACATATACAATGGGATGGGGCGTCATTTACCATCCATTTTATTTGTACACGTCGGTTTAGGACCATGCACGCCTGACGACATTGAAAGTCTTGTTTCTGCCCATGGCAGCGCACACAGAAGAGGATCTCACCGACGGTCACAAGGTTCATCACAGTCTGGACACATGGCAAGGCTGCATATGGTCTGACAACTGCCTCCTCAAGATCTTCCCGGCCGGCGATTTGGGGATGGAGTCGACGAACACCACCTTGCGGACCTTCTTGTACGGCGCCACCTGCTTCGCCACGTGCTCCATGACCTGCGCCTCCGTGACCTTGCTCCCGGGCTGCCTCACCACGAGCGCCATGGGTATCTCTCCCGCCTCTTCGTGAGGATACCTGCAAATCCAGTGAAGCCGTCAGTACTGCAGGAGCTGGCATCGTTTACATGTTCATCGTATAGCATCACTCCAACCAAGGGTACAAAGCCCCTTGTCTCTATTTGCATACAAGCAAAGTACATCTCACAGCTATGTAGGCAGTTTTTTTTTCATTTCAAGCGTGCTCCTGTAATCCTGATTTGTAATCTGCCATGTTACTGTAAAATTCAAGACATGTTGCATCGGAGAAAGCGGACAGCAAGTTCGATTCAGAGTACGAACGAGATTTCTCGAGATTATTACGTATTTTAGTGGGGGTAATAACTTACGGCATAACTGCAGCATCCATAATTTCCGGCAACGATTGCAGGACAAGCTCCAGCTCTGCAGGCGCGACCTGCAACATTCAGTTATCCAGCTAAGCATCATAACCATGCAAGCCAACTTGGCATATACTCCCTCCATTCCTAAATATAAGTCCTTCTAGAGATCTCAGTATGGACTACATATGGATGTATGTAGACATAGTTTAGAGTATAGATTCACTCATTTTGCTCTATATGTGGTCCATATTGTAATCTCTAAAAAGACCTATATTTAGAAACTGAGGGAGTATACCGGAGTACTACCAAACACGTTGTTCAGGAGTTGATAAGAGCAGACCTGATAGGCCTTGTACTTGATGAGCTCCTTGAGCCTATCAACCACGAACAGAAACCCATCCTCATCAATGTAGCAAAGGTCGCCGGTCTTGAGCCAGCCTTCCGAATCGAACGCGGCCGTGTTCGCCCCGTCGTCGCCGACGTAACCTGCACAGACACAAAAACCATAAGTAATCTCAGCGCAAAGTCACAACAATCTGCGCGCCTGAAATAACCAACTGAGGGCGATGTGTGTTGCAGGACAATATGATGTTCGTGAGTTCACCTGTCATGATGGAAGGACCTCTCACGCACAGCTCCCCTTTCCGCCCGACCGGCAAGGGCTCGCCGGTGACGATGTCGACGATCTTCACCTCGACGTTGTGGGAGATACGGCCGGCAGAGCCTACGCGGGAGCACTCGTCCCGGTCGATCATCAAGGATATGCCTCCGGCCTCCGTCGAGCCATAACCCTGAAGCGGATAAGTCACTAGATTTTATAATGTTCACTGAAAATTTCCGCTGATGGCTCTTTTAACTACGATCAGCTTGAAACGCATGAAAAAACGTCAAGGTCGATCATCAAGGATATGCCTCCAGCCTCCGTCGAGCCATAACCCTGAAGCGGATTTACGCCACAAGGTTTTAGGAAACGTACTGAAAAATCTCCGTCGACAGAAATGACTCGTTTAACTACGATCAGCTTGAAACGCATGAAAAACCGTCAAAGAATTACGATCGTCGACATACATACTCCTCAACTACTCCTGAATAAACCCAACGAGATTCAGATCTACCAGATCCGGATCCGACAGACCACTTATTACTTGCCAGGTTCCCAGCGACACCAAACCCTTGCCGATGCAGCACATGGGCAATTGCAGGTGAGTGAGTGATGTGCAAGTAACGCAATTGTCGGCGGTTAAAAGCGGCCGAGATCATGACCTAGTCGGCTGGCGCACGTCGGAGATTTTGTGCGATCTCAGTCCCATCACATGGTTTGTGATCCACCATCGATCCCGGCTATTGATTGCTGAAGCAACATCATTGCAGGAGAGGCAGGAACCGTAAACTTGGGTACTCCCATGTCCTGCGGCGACATGGCAGGCAGGCATACGAGCCACGATAGATGTGCCTCAAGAACAAGGTTGGAATCATGCGTTTAATTCTGTTGGGTACGTACTAGTACTGTGTTTCTGTGCTTGGTTTAAAGGATCCAAGGCTGATCGACAGTGGATACCGTGGTTCCAGACTTTTGGTTTCTGAAATATTTCGGGCAACATTGAACACTGACATTTCCGCTACTGCTGTTTTCGACTTGATCAATGACCAAATGTCCACGTCAACTTGACTGAATTTCAATCAAAAATTCAAATAACTCGATTATAGCTTGACTATGGCGCGAAATATGGGTACTTGTCGTAGCTCGTTTCCGGCTCTCTATATGTCATTCCTTGTACCTTCTTGTGTGTGTCGAGGGCTACATGTTGTAGCCGATTTGTTGTATATCGATCTTGTTTGTGAAAATGAAAATGGTCCGGGCCGACTTTTGCCTGCCGTAGCAGCTTAAAAAAGCCGATGGCCCCAACTTGTTGTTACTTAAGATTATCATGTTAGGCTAGTACTGTTGATGTATGCTCATCTTTCATGCCACATTTCTTTTGTGAAGGATGTCCTAAATAAATTCAATTGAAAAAAATAAGTTGTTATGTCAATATTGTCTAATTTTGAAACCTCAATTCCCGCCCCATAGCCATACCCGACCTACCTACGCTCGACGTGCCTAGCCATCACCTTTGAGATCTCCACGGTGGATCAGCCTCGAGATATTTCCCTCTTGAGTCTCGCCGCCACCAGCCGGGTTGACCACATCTCCTGCTCGGGCTATGTCTAATCCGATCAGGGGTCAAAACAAAAAGGCCCCTCCCCACTCGCACTTGTCTAACCTAGAACTCCCCTTCGCATGAGACTGCTCGCTCCTGGCTCGGCCTCAGGCCAGACGCTGCTCTCCAAATCATATTTTCAAGGAACTGATAAATCACTAAACCGTGTCGACGGGCCATGGCTTGAGCGGTGGTAAGGCTCTAGCGGAGAGGTGGCTTGAGATAAACCAAAACTCACAGTTTCATCGCCCGCGTTTTCGATGTGAGATTTGATTCGGTTTATCTTTTAAGAAGTTTGGAGAGAAAACACCGCTACTATATTAAGCACATTTCTCTTCCCAACATGAAAGCTGCACTTTTGGTGAAAATCGCCACATATTTTCTTACAACATATTTTATGTAATTTACGTATACGCGTGTGAGCGGTAATTATCCATATATACTACTAGTGTGAGGCCGGTCAAGGTCAAGCAAAAATATTGCGGAAGTATTACTAATATTTTATTACTTTTATATCTCCACAAAAAACGGTTACTTTTTTTGCGGGGTTTACAAGTCGGTTGGATTTACAAGTGGGGCATATTGTTATAATTTAACTAATAAAATATGTATAGTGTGCTGTAAAAATATATGGTTATGAACTTCATTTGATGACAAATTTTGAAATATATTTTTTGAAAAATATAATGATATATTTTTAGTCAATTGATTGAAGACCTAAAAATCCGCACCCGATTTATAAACCCGATGAAAAGAGTATCCCATATATGCGTCCCGTTGGAGTACCTGAAAAGGCTAGTCATCACGGTGATTGGCAAAAACAAAAGGTAAAAACTACAGTCATCACGGTATTCCCCAACGTTCTTCTGGAATCTCGATGCCTCTGTATGGTACAGTGTTTTCAATTGCGTAGATCGCCAGCTACTCTCCTTTTCTTCCATTACTATGGTCCCTACTCCCTAAATCTAAATGGGCCTTGCTTGAACCTTGAAGAAAAAACTGAAGTAGAAGCACTCTCTAAACTGAAGCACACTCATTAAAAAGAATAATAATGTACTCCGAAAGTCATTCTAACAAAGGAAGCAAATGCTCCAAGGAGAAATGGATACATGTTCGTCATTGTTCCGTTCGACGCAATTCGTGGGTTCAGTTTTACAGGTGGTTGTTTTTTCCAAATAAAAAGTTGTGCTGACTTTTTGTGTGTGATGTCGTACGGGTGGATTAGTCTTGGTTTTGGCTGTCCCGTCCACATCCCCAACCGTCACATTAGTTGTTTTCTGACACTACAAGTGGAGCATTGTGAGTACAATTAGGGTCAGCAGCATCACAATTTGGTACAGTATCTTACTTAGCGTCCACCGATGTCACGATCGAAAATAGTCGTACCTTTTGTTCGGGGTATAATCAAGTTATGGTGTTATTTCTTATGTCGCAGCTTTAATCATGTACGTAATTTATAGCCACTGTCCCATGAAGACCAATAGGGCGGCTCATTTGCTTGCTACTAAAGTGGCTCATCCACAAGACATTGTGTTTCTTTTTCTGCAGGGGAAACGTATTGAACGCTGAGCACCTGATTTCCCGTTCATGTAATAGCGGATGACCGTATCTCTATTTACCAACATAACATAATCCCCCGTAAAGGCTTTCCGTAAAAAAAATATAACTTTGAAACAATCACCATTGCAACAACAAAAACATACGTAGGCAATCCAAACAAAAATGCCTACCGCTTGATTGGAAGCCATCTACTTTGCCAACCTCCCTAAACTTACGAATTTCTGGCAAGTTTTGGAGTTGAAGGCTACCTCACTTTTGGACACCAATCAAGCACATTCATATTTGTTGATTGGGTTGTTCATTTACTCGCATCTTCCCTTTCTCTCATTTCATCCTACCTGATGAATCGATCCTAAAATATCACATTCAGCGGTGGAATCTGCAGATGGGAATATATATGGCAGTTTTGCTTTATCCGTAATGGTGGAAGGGCCTTCGGTTAGTTGTTTAAAACAACATTATATTGCCACACAAATAGTTTCACTAGTACAACTTTTCTTTAACTTAGTGTCAGACGTGTCTGGACAGTCTAACATAGTTGGTGGGGACATTGAATGTGCAATGTTACTACAACATTTTTTTAAGATGGCCTATTATTATGGTGTTTCTCAATTGATATATCTATATTTTTCTTGTTTCACCAATTCTTTCGATATGTGTTCTCTGTCCTATGGCACTAGCTTGTTGAGATTCATGCCGAAGAAAGTCGGTCATGTATAGTTCACTCGAAAAATCAAACCCTCTTTAGTAGTGCTCGGTAATTTGGACCTCTACATCATTTTCTGAATCCAATTTGTCTCATATTCAAATAGAGCATGCTAAACATGCAACGATTTTTTAATGGTTCTTGAAACTAGCTGGGACATTGTTATCTTCACCAAAACTTATAAACAATTTATTGTTCTAGACCCAGGGGACGACATTTCTCTACTGCAGTATACCTGCTGCTTGCGAATTTGTTCTTTATACGATGCGTTTGTCGACCCCGTTTATGTTAGACAAAGGTATCAATGAACATTATTGTACTTCCTTTGTAAAGAAATACAAGATCATTTAGATCACTACTTTAATGATTTATAAACACTCTTATATTTCTTTATAAAGAGAGTACGATGCGTTTCGAGTATTGATCCATGTAATTTGGCCTTATGAAGATTTCTTCCGAGACTTGTCACATCCATTTTGATCCCCTTTGGACCTCTATAGCACTTTCTGAATCCAATTTCCCACATATTCAAACAGAGCACGCTACGCACGCAGCTATTTTTCTAATGGTTCTTGAAACTGGCTGGCACACTATTTCACCAAAACTTTTTTTTGCAGGTTTATTTCACCAAAACTTATCAACCATTTATCGTTCTAGACCCAGCAGACAACGACATCTCTCTATCTTCCAAGTGCAGTGTACCTGCTGCTTGCGATTTTGTTCTTTATACGATGCGTTTGTCGATCCCGTTTATGTTAGACAAAGGAAACAACATACGCATAATTTTAGAACCGGAAAATATCAGTGCGCATTGGGTGTACTTCCTTTTGGACTGTATACAAGTACTTTTCTTTTAACTGTATATATGTGTATACTTGTTTTTTGAACTTTGTGCTTTCTGTTGACATTGTATGTTTTGAGGTTGCTTACTACATACTCCCTCCGTTCCAAATTACTCGTAGCAGAAATGGATGTATATAGAATTAAAATACATCTAGATACATCCATACTTAGGACAAGTAATTGGGAACGGAGGGATTGTACTGCTTTCTGTTAGTGATGAAAAAGCATAAACGTTTTCTTCGGAAAAAGAAAAGAAAAGTATAAACATTTCGAATAGAAGAAACGACATATACTGTAGATGTGGAAACACTAACCATGCACAGATCCACGTGAGGGAAGCGCCGGCGGAACTGCTCCGCCACCGACGTCGGCAGAGGGGCGCCGCCGCAGACCACCCGCACCAGACTCGTCAGCCGGCATCGGTCCTTCGTCATCCCCAGCACCACGGGAGGCGCCACCGTCATCTCCGTGACCTCCCACCGCTGCGCCGCCTCCAGCATCCCCCTTAACCCCGCCCGGGTGGCCGCGTCCGTCATCACGACGGTGGTAAGCCCCTGCGCCAGCCCGTTCAGCGCGAAGAAGAAACCCATGGAGTGGAACATGGGAGCGCCCATCAGAGTCCTCTCGTTGACCTTCCGCGGCCTCACGTGCCGGGCATGGAACCCCGCCGCCTGCGCGATGAAGCTCCGGTGCGGCAGCGCCGCCGCCTTCACCCGCCCTGTCGTGCCGGAGGAGTACTGGATCGTCGCCGTCGCCGACTGGCACACTGCTCCGGTGTCAAGCGGCGCCGGGTCGTTCTCCCCTTGGTCGCTGTGCAGGAGGGAGCGGAAGTGCGGGGAGTCGAGGAGGATGGTGGGGAGGCCGGCGGGGAGCTTGGCGGCGGTGGAGGAGACGGCGAAGGCGACGGACGCGCCGGACAGGGCGACGAGGCGCGCGACCTCGCCGGCGGTGAGGGCCGGGTTGGCCGGGGACACGACGACGCCGACGGCGAGGAGCGCGAAGTAGAGCACGGGCACGTCGAGGCGCGCGGGGGCGAGGACGAAGGCCACGTCGCCGCGGCCGAGCGGGACCGCGCGCGATCGCAGGGCGCCCACGAGCGCGCGCACCTGGGACAGGAACGCCGGGTAGGAGACGGCCTCGCCGGTGGCGGCGTCGAGGAGCGCGGGGTGCGCGGGGAGAGGGGACGGCAGCAGCGACAGCGCGAAGGCCGGGAATGTGAGCGGGGCGTCCGCCGGCGGCAGCGGCAGCGGCGGGCGGAGGCTGACGAAGGACCTGGTGGTTGCGCGGTAGCCGGTGCGGGCGTCGATGGCGCCGCTGCGTTCGGCGAGGGCGCTGGACATTTTCAACGGGGAAACTCGTGGTCGCGCGTGGGGTGAAGTGAGGAGCTGGGAGGCGCGGAGGTGGCGGGGGAGGGACGCTGTGGCATTTGACAGGGAAGCCTGCGGCAATGGATTTGAGCAGCGGTGGTTGACAAGGACCAGTAATCAATCGGGCAGGCTAGTAGACAAGTCACGCGGCAGTGGTAGCAGAGCAGGCATATGTGTCATCTAGCCCTCTCGATTCTCGATGCTTGTCACGTGCACAAAATATGCATTACCCCTTCGGTCTAAAGTGCGTCTCCCAGACCGACCCTCTAATCTGCCGTGACCGTCCGGACTATACGATTCGTATGGAGTTAATTGCCTGGAAGTACCACACTTGGGGCAGCTATAACGAGTTAGTATCACTATTTAGATTTTTTGCAAGTCATTATCACGTTTGAGGCTAGTCGTTGCAATACGGGCTAAGCCGCGTATAACTCTGTGTTGACGCTGTATCTGACAACCCGGCCCCACCAGTCAGTTGACCAGCCGCCGAACCGGCTCGGTCGGTCTACCTGGTCGAACCCAACTCCCTCAAACCCAACTCACTCACTCCCCACGAACCCTAGCCCTCGCCCTGCTCGAGCTCTCACCCGCCGATTCGCCGCCGACCGCCGCGCATTCCCCGGCCGCCACCGCGCCATGGTCCACGAGGATGAGAGCAGCGACGACTACTCCAGCCTGCAGTATATGAACTCCTCCGACGACGACATCATGTTGTACCGGGTTAGTGGTTTAGCTAGGGTTAGGGTTAGTGTTCCTGCTTTGGGGATTTGATCTTTGATTTGGGGGGTTTTGGTTCATTTTGCTACTACAGATCCTTGCCAGCATTGAAGACCAAGACTACATGGCATTGAGACTGAAACCATTGTTCCCTGCCAGCACCATGGGCTGCCATGTGAGAGGCGTGTAGCCTTTGAGGGATTTGACACGGCCAATAGGTTCTTAGCCTGTCCTCTGAAAGTAAGATTCTGCACTTTCTATGTTCTGTTTATTAAAATGAGTTGGTAGTAGCCCCACAGTATTTTTAATTAGTAGTAGTTTGGTCCAAGTTAGATTATCTTTTTGTGATTGCCATTCTTTATCCAATTACTAGTACTGATGCACTGATGCTGGTCATTGGAGTAGGCATATGTTAATTTAATATGTGGCCAAGAGCTTAGTTTCGAGTGCACAACATTGTTTAAGCTTTGATCCTGATAGTTTAGTGCTTTATGAGTGCTTTATAGTTGATGTACTTTTTGTGATGATTAAATAATGTGGCAATGTGATTTGGTTGCCGTGCACATGTTGTGTTGTTCTTCAGTTAGTTAGTTCTGTTGTTCTTTAGTTCTTTACTTAAGATCATATTCTTTAATTGTAATATTTAGTGTAGTTGTGATGTTCTTTACAATCAAATCCTTTAACAAATATAGGTGCTGAATATATTGCAGGAAGGTCAGAACTGTGGCTCTGTTGAATGGGTTGACCCAGAGTGGCCTCCTACAGTGCAGAATGCATTGTTGAAGCTATGGGAAATGTATCAAGATAGTAGGAGTGATAGGAGGAAGGATAACCTGGAGAGTTCACTCACTATTCACAATTTGACAGAAGAAAAATATAAACTGGAGGCCAACTATGACAAATTAGTTGAAGATGTTCATCAACTTTTGAATGCCCAAGAGGATAGGGTGCTGGATTTCAGATATTTGCAGTCTAAGATGGAGAGTGCAGAGGAGAGGAAAGCTGAGGTTACCAACTCAGTTGTCTCAGATATGAAGACTGAGATGGAGAAGAAAGTGTTGGGGAACGTAGTAATTTCAAAAGAATTCCTACGCACACGCAAGACCATGGTGATGCATAGCAACGAGAGGGGAGAGTGTGATCTACGTACCCTTGTAGATCGACAGCGGAAGCGTTAGCACAACGCGGTTGATGTAGTCGTACGTCTTCACGGCCCGACCGATCAAGCACCAAAACTACGGCACCTCCGAGTTCTAGCACACGTTCAGCTCGATGACGATCCCCGGACTCCGATCCAGCAAAGTGTCGGGGAAGAGTTCCGTCAGCACGACGGCGTGGTGACGATCTTGATGTCCTACCGTCGCAGGGCTTCGCGTAAGCACCGCTACAATATTATCGAGGATTATGCTGGAAGGGGGCACCGCACACGGCTAAGAATATGATCACGCGGATCAACTTGTGTGTCTAGGGGTGCCCCCTACCCCCGTATATAAAGGAGCAGGGGGAGGTGCGGCCGGCCAGGAGGAGGGCGCGCCAGGAGGAGTCCTACTCCCACCGGGAGTAGGATTCCCCCCTTTCCTAGTTGGAATAGGATTCAGGAGGGGGAAAGAGGAGAGAGAGAAGGAAGGGGGCGCCGTCCCCCTCTCCTTGTCCTATTAGGACTAGGGGGGAGGGGCGCGTGGCCCAGCCCTGGCCACCTCTCCTCTCTTCGACTAAAGCCCACTAAGGCCCATATACCTCCCGGGGGGTTCCGGTAACCTTCCGGTACTCCGGTAAAATCCCGATTTCACCTGGAACACTTTCGATATCCAAATATAGGCTTCCAATATATCAATCTTTATGTCTCGACCATTTTGAGACTCCTCGTCATGTCCCCGATCTCATCCGGGACTCCGAACTCCTTCGGTACATCAAAACTCATAAACTCATAATATAACTGTCATTGAAACCTTAAGCGTGCGGACCCTACGGGTTCGAGAACAATGTAGACATGACCGAGACACGTCTCCAGTCAATAACCAATAGCGGAACCTGGATGCTCATATTGGCTCCCACATATTCTACGAAGATCTTTACCGGTCAGACCGCATAACAACATACGTTGTTTCCTTTGTCATCGGTATGTTACTTGCCCGAGATTCGATCATCGGTATCTTAATACCTAGTTCAATCTCGTTACCGGCAAGTCTCTTTACTCGTTCCGTAATACATCATCTCACAACTAACTCATTAGTTGCAATGCTTGCAAGGCTTATGTGATGTGCATTACCGAGAGGGCCCAGAGATACCTTTCCGACAATCGGAGTGACAAATCCTAATCTCGAAATACGCCAACCCAACATGTACCTTTGGAGACACCTGTAGAGCTCCTATAATCACCCAGTTACGTTGTGACGTTTGGTAGCACACAAAGTGTTCCTCCGGCAAACGGGAGTTGCATAATCTCATAGTCATAGGAACATGTATAAGTCATGAAGAAAGCAATAGCAACATACTAAACGATCGGGTGCTAAGCTAATGGAATGGGTCATGTCAATCACATCATTCTCCTAATGATGTGATCCCGTTAATCAAATAACAACTCTTTTGTTTATGGTTAGGAAACATAACCATCTTCGATTAACGAGCTAGTCAAGTAGAGGCATACTAGTGACACTTTGTTTGTCTATGTATTCACACATGTATTATGTTTCCGGTTAATACAATTCTAGCATGAATAATAAACATTTATCATGATATAAGGAAATAAATAATAACTTTATTATTGCCTCTAGGGCATATTTCCTTCAGTCTCCCACTTGCACTAGAGTCAATAATCTAGTTCACATCGCCATGTGATTCAACACTAAGAGTTCACATCATCATGTGATTAACACCCATAGTTCACATCGTCATGTGACCTATACCCAAAGGGTTTACTAGAGTCAATAATCTAGTTCACATCATTTATGTGATTAACACCCAAAGAGTACTAAGGTGTGATCATGTTTTGCTTGTGAGATAATTTTAGTCAACGGGTCTGTCACATACAGATCCGTAAGTATTTTGCGAATTCTATGTCTACAATGCTCTGCACGGAGCTACTCTAGCTAATTGCTCCCACTTTCAATATGTATCTAGATCGAGACTTAGAGTCATCCAGATCTGTGTCAAAACTTGCATCGACGTAACTTTTACGACGAACCTTTTGTCACCTCCATAATCGAGAAATATTTTCTTATTCCACTAAGGATAATTTTGACCAATGTCCAGTGATCTACTCTTAGATCACTATTGTACTCCCTTGCTTAACACAGTGTAGGGTATACAATAGATCTGGTACACATCATGGCATACTTTATAGAACCTATGGTTGAGGCATATGGAATGACTTTCATTCTCTTTCTATCTTCTGCCGTGGTCGGGCTTTGAGTCTTACTCAATTTCATACCTTGTAAGACAGCCAAGAACTCTTTCTTTGACTGTTCCATTTTTGAACTACTTCAAAATATTGTCAAGGTATGTGCTCATTGAAGAAACTTATCAAGCGTCTTGATCTATCTCTATAGATTTTGATGCTTAATATGTAAGCAGCTTCACCGAGGTCTTTCTTTGAAAAACTTCTTTAAAAACACTCCTTTATGCTTTGCAGAATAATTCTACATTATTTCCGATCAACAATATATCATTCACATATACTTATCAGAAATGCTGTAGTGCTCCCACTCACTTTCTTGTAAATACATGCTTCACCGCAAGTTTGTATAAAACTATATGCTTTGATCATTCTATCAAAGCGTTTATTCCAACTCCGAGAGGCTTGCACCAGTCTAAATGGATCGCTGGAGCTTGCACACTTTGTTAGCTCCTTTTGGATCGACAAAACCTTCCGGCTGCATCATATACAACTCTTCTTCCAGAAATCCATTCAGGAATGCAGTTTTGACATCCATTTGCTGGATTTCATAAAATGCGGCAATTGCTAACATGATTCGGATAGACTTAAGTATAGATATGAGTGAGAAACTCTCATCATAGTCAACACCTTGAACTTGTCGAAAACCTTTTTGCGACAATTCTAGCTTTGTAGATAGTAACACTACTATCAGCGTCCGTCTACCTCTTGAAGATCCATTTTATCTCAATGGCTCGCCGATCATTGGGCAAGTCAATCAAAGTCCATACTTTGTTCTCATACATGGATCTCATCTCAGATTTCATGGCCTCAAGCCATTTCGCGGAATCTAGGCTCATCATCGCTTCCTCATAGTTCGCAA